GAAAAGGCCCTGGCTCGGTACGCTTGCCTGGCTCCTCGGCGGCGGCCTCGGCCCCCGCCGCCGCCGCCTCCTCCGCCTCTGCCTTGCGCAGCATGACATCCAGCATGATGGCAGACAGGGTGGGGTAGAAAGTGGCCAGCAGATCGTGGCTGATGTCTGCAAAGGAGGGCAGGTGCGCGGGCGGCAAGGGAGGGTGCGCATGTGTGGGCGTCGATGGCACCATGGGGCTAGGGTAGACGAAAGTAGGGACAGGACACACAGCGCACTCCTCGCTCCTCAATTTATAAGCAGCACATCCCTGGACCCCTCTTGAGACCCCTCCCACAACTGAGGCTGTCCCCGAGGCGCGGTACACCCCGTCCCGCATCATGCCCGCAGCCAACGGCAGCACATGCCCGCCCCCGTACCGCCCCCGAGCTCACCCGCGAAGCGGTACGCCCTGTCCCGCATCATGCCGCGGCACCCCACCGCCAGCTGCAGCAGGCGCGTCACAAACATCAGCTCGCGGTCATCCTTGGGCAGCAGCTGCTCCTCGGTGGCCGCCTCCAGCCGGCGCAGGACCTGCGGACAGGGTGGGGTGGGGTGGGGTGGAGGGTGGGTAGGTGGGACAAAGTGCGTGCTTGTGTGGTGTCTGGGTGTGGGGGGAGGGTGTGCAGCTCTGGTGCATGGGTGTGGGCGCTGCGATGTGAGGGGCCATGGTGTGAGGGCCAGGGGCTGGCGCCAGCCCAGGGCCGCTCCTCAGCCCCCCGCCGTGGCTGCCCCAGCCCACTCCACCCCAGCCGCCGCCACAGGCCCAGGCCACCCCAAGCCGCCGCCACCTCAGCGCCCTGCCTGCCTCACATGGTGCACCAGCATGTGGAAGGTGGAGGGGTCGCGCAGCACCATGCCCATGTCCGCCAGCTCTCTGTTAGGCTCCTCGGCGTGGCTGGCGCCGGGGGCTCCCGCCGACTCCGCATCCTCGTCGATGCCGCCTGCGGGGATTGGTTTTTATTGGTTTCAAAGGGGAGCAGGGCGGCAGGTGGCGCTGGGGAGTGGTGCGCACGCATGTGCGTGTGCGTGTGAGGTGTGAGGTGTGAGGTGCGCGGCGGGGTGGTGCTGGTGGCGGTGGCGAGCTGGGGATGTCTGTGGGGTTGGGGGTGGAAGCGTGGGCCTGGGCTTGGGGCGTCGAGGCGCATCAGCATCAGCAGCAACAACAGCAGCAGGCGCAGCACAGCAGCAGGAGCAGCAGCAGCGGCAGCAGCAGGCGCAGCAGCAGCGGCGTGCCAGAAGCACCCCGATCCCCCCAGCCGCCCACGCACCGTGGGACGGCACTCGGATGGTGATGCGGGTGCCGCCGCCGTGGGAGGCTCGCGCCCGTGCCAGCCGCGCCTCTGCCGCCTCGTCTGCGAGCGGGAGGCAGGCGGCAAGGGGATGGCTGCGGCTGGCGGGCGGCGCCCAGCTGACAGGCCCGCAGGCTGGGTGGCAGGCTGAGGGGAGCCAGAGAGAAGGATGCAGCACAAGCACGCGCTCGGAACCTGCGCAGTACAAGGGCCGGGACCGCAGGGCTCACAGGGCTGGAAGATGTTGGCCAGCTCCCGCAGCCGCCGCTGGTCCAGCTTGCGGTCCTGTGGCAGTACCATGGGGGGTACAGGCAGGCAGCCAGAAACGATGCTGTGAGTAACACAATGCTTTGTCAAGGTCGGCAGGCCGGCATGGCGAGGTAAAGCGGGGCGGGGCAGGCAGGCAGAGCAGCGCAGGAGGCATGCTCCGCGCAGAAGCCGGGAGCTCCACTCCGCCCATCCGTCCTGCCTGGCTGCCTCCCTCTCTGCAGCGTGCCGCAGCACGCGCGGGCCGTGCCGCGCGACGCCCACCTTGAGGCAGGCGTCCAGGGTCCAGGCCAGCTTGTGGCAGCTCTCCTTGGTGCACAGCTCCGTCTCGCCCAGGTCATGTAGAGCCATGAGCAGCTGCAGCGGCGGTACCGTCAGTTTGTTTTGTGAGAGTTGGCGAAGGAGGGAAGGAGGGAGTGCGTCAGAAGGCAGCTAGGAGCGGCACCCCAGTGCACGGCCGCCGCCAGAAGCGGGGCGTGGCGCGGCAGCCGGGGTCGTGGGTGCCAGGCAGCAGCCAGCAGGCATCAGGCAGCGGGCGACGGCACGGCCCCCGATCGGCGACGCCTGGCTGGCGCCAGGCTGGCGCTGACCTGGCTGCGCAGCGCGCACAGCGCGGCCTCCTGCATGCCCACGTACAGGCTGTCGCTGTCGCGGTACCGCAGCATGCACAGCTCCACGATTCCCTGCAGTAATTGCGGTACCAGGGCACGCATTGTGCGAGCGTCCGGAAAGGCCAGCGCGTCGTGCGGCGCACGACAGCAGCCGAGCAGGACGACAGGCGTGTGCTGGGAGGCCGTCGCCTGCCACGGCCCACCACCCGCTAGCCGGCGGCTGCATCACACCTTGTAAATCTGCCGGCTCTTTCCCACCATCTTGGTGAGGCGCTGCAGCGCGGAGGAGCCACTGCGCAGCATCTTGCGGCCTGGCTGGTGCACGCGGGCGCCCGGGCGGCCCGCAGGCGCTGCGTGGAGCAGGGTGGCACAGCGGGGTGGCGCGGTGGGCAGGGCGGCAGGGACGGGTTGCGGGAGGGCAAGCCAGGCACGCCGCCAGCGCGCTTCAGAGGCACTCCCCTGCCGCCCGTCGCCCGCCGAGTGCTGGCTGCTGCTCACCATTACCCCGCACTCGCCCAGCCCCTCACACCCTGCCTCTCCTCCCCTTCCCAGCGCCGTGCCACAGTATGCACACGCATGTGCACCTAGCTACAAACAGAGTACCACCTGCCTTTCCAAGGCGGTTTGGGTATTACCGCCACGCCTACATGCACCACCTGCCCACACACCTGGCAGCAGCTCCTGCGGCAGGCTCTCATCCATGTCCAGCCCCTTGAGGGCGGTGGCCACCTCAAAAGTGTAGCTGCGGGCGGCAGGAAGGGAGGCGGGGCGGGCAGGCAGGCAGGCCAGGCGGTGCTGGGCGGGGGTGTGAGCGCGGGCGTGAGCGGGCCAACAAACAACGCATGTGCTGTGCTGCAGCCTTGTTCTTGCTGAAACCAGACTAAAAGCCCACTCACAAGCAGGGGGGCGTGCAGATGGCGGAGGGGCAGGGCAAGCAGCGCGCTGGCAACGGCTCAAGGGACTGCATGGGCGGCCACCCGGTCGAGGCACGCGTCACAAGCTCGCACAGAGAGCATGCATGCGCAGCAGCGGCTGCGGCGGCTGCGGCGGCGGGGCCCACCCGACCACCAGCGGCAGCGCGTGGGCTTGCAGCAGCTTCTTGTCCAGCTCCCACACCTGTGAAGGGGGAGAGGAAGGGCGAGAGGGTGGTCGTGTCATCGGAGGAGGGAGGAGCCGGTGATCGGGGCAAACAACACACACACACGCACACGCACACATTAACGCACGCGCCACATACCCACTCGTCTCAGGCACGCCTCACCCATCCATTGGACACACCCACCCACCCAACACAAGCGCGCTCACCTGGCGCTGCACCCCCACCGGCAGCTCCCAGAACAGGTCCTTGTCCCCTGCCAGCTGCTTGAGGAAGGTGGCCGGTACCGGTTGCAGACGGTCCAGTACCGCCAGTGGTACCGCCCGCAGGTCCGCGATGCCGATGTAGGGGAAGGAGGCCTGCAGTACGAGGGGGAGGAGAGGTCGCTGCCGTGTGTGTGTGTGTGTGACGGGCGGGGGGGAGGGAGAGAGAGAGAGAGAGAGATGCGCGGGCGAGAGTGCGCGGGAAGGGTGGCTGGCAGGAGCAGGCGCCGCCACCAGCTGCCCCTGCCGGGAGGAGAACCAGCCGCCCTCGCAGCGCCAGCACCCGCCACGCCAGGCCATCCCCACCCAGCTCCAGCTCCAGCCAGCCCTACCTCAAGCAGCTGCTGCAGGCGGTCCGGCTGCATGGCGGCGATGCGGGCCAGCAGCTCCCCCGTAGCTGCCTGCAGTACATAGCGGTGCGACTCCGCCCTGCAGAAAAGCAACAAGAAAGGAAGCGGGTCACGAGCAGGGGATGCTCAGAACGGCGCCGAGGAAGCAGGGGGCAGCAGGGTGACGATCAGGCGCCAAGGTGTGGAGTTGGCAGTACCATGAGCAACAGCTGGTAATGCAGTGCGGTACCGAACCGTGTCAGACCCAGCTGGTCCATCAGCCCGATCAGCGGGCGGCAGCTGGGGTCCTGCAGCGCGCCTGCAGCCTGGATCTCCTACAGGTAACGCGGTGGCGACAGGCGGGAGGGTGAGCACAGCGGGGCAGGGAGCCATGCGCGGCGTGCTCGACAGACCGGCGATTGATCCAGCGCCGCTGGGTGAAAAACAGCGGCGGCGGAGCAAGAAAGCAGGCAGGCAGGCATGCAGGCGGCGCCCAGCCTCAGGAAGGCACCAGAAACACAACTGCGGCCGCCATAACCGCAGCCAGCCCCCCCTCCGCCCCGGCGCTGCTGGCGGCGCCAGCCCCGGCAGCAACAGCAGAGCAGCAGGCGCGGCCGGCGTGCAGCGCGCATGCCTGGATGGCTGAGAGGGGGTCCATGGTGGTAAGCGTGTTCTGCACAAACTCCTGCCCCACATT